AATACAGCTTGGACATTGTTTTTTTTCTTTGAGAGAGAGAGAGAAAAATGGGGGTCATCGCGCGGAGGTCTTGTTTAATCAGGTCTCGTTAGCAGCCAGCCCTGCAGGGAAAAACGCTTCAAACTTTTACTCCCGAGTAATGTGCTGTACCTACTCACCCGAGAATGTGAAAAACTTTGTCCATACACTCCCTCGCTGCTTTCGTGCTCTTTTCACTTTAATTTAGATAAATTTTACACGAAGACCAAAAAAAACTCGACGAAATTCCCTGATGTGCATTTTTTTCCCAACAACAATCGAGCGGTTTTTACGCTGCATCTCAATTATTTCGACAACCAAACCACAAAGTTTGCCCACGCGGGAGCATCGGAATTCGATACCGACCAACCCTGCAATTTACATGATTCTCGAGCGCGGATTTTTTACGCGCAGATGGCGCCAGCTGTCGGACCCGAGGCCCACGCGGGAAATTCAAAGTATAGCCGTACGAACGAGACTTAATTGACTTGTTGGCGTGAACTTTCGACTATCGGGGGGTAATTAGTTTCGAGGTCCTTTTAACATTAAAAAAATAAANGGTTTTTACGCTGCATCTCAATTATTTCGACAACCAAACCACAAAGTTTGCCCACGCGGGAGCATCGGAATTCGATACCGACCAACCCTGCAATTTACATGATTCTCGAGCGCGGAAAAAATTCAATAGAGCATAATACGTTACTCATACACGACACTAGGTTCGCACGTATAGAAAATGGTTTTTTTTTTTTTTTTTTTTTTTTTTTTTTTGCGGCTGTACCGCAAAATCTGGAAAAATTTTTATCCATCCAATAGATCGAATCGTCGCGTACGAAGTATAATCGGATGTGCTATGTGAGCCCCCGCGGATCGTCAATTGGTTAATCCCCCCAAAAGGGGATGAAAAAAAAAGGAAAAAAAAAAAAAAAGTGGAAAACGCTTAAAAACTCGTTTGTCCGGCAATGTACGATCCCAAAAGCTGCGCTTAACGAGATAACCAGAGTGCCGTCATCACCAGCAGCCTCTCTAATTAATTTAATAAACGATCACACGCGTTGTGACGTTATTACAGTGCACCAACTCAGCAACTCCTCAAAGAGAGCAAAACTTCGATAAACCCAAGCTGTGCACATACACATGTATACAGAGAGTAGAAGTAGCAGTAGAGAGACACAGGGCGACTGTGCGCGCTGCCGTTGACTATTAGTTCGGCTGTACCTACCAGCAGGCACCAATTAACGCCATCATTCTGTGTATAATTATATGATATAGAGCTCAACCATATTCTCGGCAAATCTGATTAATTTTCCGCACAGGTATACATGACGGCTTTACTTATCAGTTACTTATAGTTTACTTATCATTGAACTGGGGCACGGATACTTTTTTTTTTTTTTTTTTTTGATACTACGTACTCTTTTGCTAAAAATGTAATGGTTATCTATTTTAAAAGAATTGTTTTTCAAATACTATTTATAGCATAGTACTTGACTAAATTTTTTTTTTCTTTTCAGCAAACATAATGGATTACAGATTGAATGAAAAAAGAAGTGAAAGTTATTTGAATATTTTATACTCCATGACATACTTTGCCATTAATTTCAATACGTAGAAAGTGTATTGAATTCATCTGAGAAAAAAAATGTTCGTCTTGGTATTTTGTTGTAAATATTGATGAATAAAATAATTTTTTTTTCAATTTTAAATTGCTTTTCAATCAGGAAAAAACATTTTTTTTTCCCAACAAAGTGTTTAATCTTTAATTTACTGGAAAAAAAAAAAAATTATCAATTCAAGTCGCTGTATGAATATCTGAAATCCCGCGTGATAGGGGGGTACAATGGCATCTCTCGTCTCACGTCGAATTAACAAGCGAGAGCGCACAAGCTCATCCTCTCGTGGATCGATTGATTACGAATGACGGGATTCCCATCTCCCACTGACATCACTCCTCGTTACCAACCCCCGACGACCCCACTACGTTTCTCGTCAGCAGGTGCGAATATACCTCTTACAGGGACGATTTCGCAATTGGCCAACAGTCACTCTCTCCCCCTCCCCCCTGCATGGCCCTTTTCTTTTAGATACGAAGAGCTGGTGCTATTTTTAGAGGCATTTTTCCGCTCGAGGTGGGTTCTTAAATATTAAAAAAAAAAATTCGAATGAGCAGTTTACACTGGGGAGGGGTGAATTTCGATGTTCCTTTATAAGTTTATAATTTTAAGGTGTTAACTTTACCAATGGTACGGTTATTTTTACATTTTGCCTAGGAATGAGTTTCGGAAAGTTTATTTATACAAGGAAAACAAAATTTTGTCAAGCCAAACAAACGTTTATCTGAATATAGGACAAGAAATATTTACTTTAATAATATAAATGTAGTTATGAATGGCCGTTTATTTGATTTGAATAAATAAATTATTCGATTGTATTCCCAATAAACGTATATTTAGATACAAACAAGAAAATCTATTTGAAAAAAAAAATTATGTATTTAGTTAAATATCTATAAAATGTTACGTTGTAAAAAAAAATTTATATTATTTAAAGTAATATTATTTGATTTGAATAAATAAATTGGAATCAACATTTATTTGGATTGACAAAATTTTTCTTTTTTCTGTTTAAAAATAGATTGTCATGCAAACAATTTATCTGTGTGTTTTGATTTTTCTCACGATTATATTCATATGTTAAATACAAGTCAGGAGTTTGGTGCTAAAAAACTACTAACAACATGAAATGTACTCGACAAAAATTGTTTCCACCAAAAAGTATTGCACAATATTTTTGAAGGGAAACGAAAATACATTGAACAACATTTTTTCTGGACAACATGAAATTTTGTCAAATGCTCCCTTTTACCCAGTCACAATCAAAGTACATTTTCCATCACGTTTGAAAAAGTGAATTTTAGTTAAAAGTATTTTGAAACGTATAAACTGAGTCGTACACTCAAGAAGCCAAAGCCATACGGTCATCAGATAAAGTATACACTGCAAACACCGCAGCTGCACAACAGCCTAATATCGATGATAAATTACATTAGCGATAAATGAAATCATTATTGACAATATATGATTATGAATCAACCACTGCAGCATTAACGTTTCGACATCGTGATACATAATGTTACAAAAAAATATACAAATTATGGTTTGCGATTAAAGTTGAAGCCTTGATTTTATTCGCAATGTAATGTTCTACGTGGAAAAAACAGTTAACGCGGATTTTAGTCAAACACTTTATATCCATAAACTCAAGTTGCCCAAGTCAGAATAAAATAACACTCAAATTCTATACGCATGTGTATAGTGACTCTTGCGACAAATACCAATAACCAATTACCATGTCATTAGTGATATCTCGTACGATGCTAAAAATATTTCTGACCAAATCAAAATTTACTGTAAGCATCGGGTTTTAAGCACCTACAGCGGTTTGGGTGGCAGTTACTCATGTAGCAGCAGGAAGTCGACGCTTCAGCTAATTTTGTGCAGCAACACTTGATAAACAATAATTTTTTTCTACAATAGTGTTGTAGGTGATAAATTGGAAATACAAAGCCATATCAACGTTGTTCAACAAAACAAGCGAATAAATATGTTGTTCGGCAAGTGTTTGAGCAACCAAATCTAGACAGAAAATCCATCAAGTCAAAAAGGTAAGTCTTGTTATTAATTTAAAAAATCTACTGCTATTTCATTCACACGATCCTTTGTTTTTGTTTGCAAAAGAAAAAAAAATGGTATTTTGGATTATTTCTAAATGTCTAAAAGAGACTTGTATCGCGTGGATATAGCTTATCTTTTTTTTTTTTTTTTAGTCCCATCGGCCATTGAATCGGAGTACTGCTATTACTACGTCAAAAAACACAAAATATCAAATTACCACCGACAACTACCAAATAATCCGTAGCTGCAACTTTCGAGATACATCGATCACAACAAACTAATATGGCCGAAAAACCGAGTTCCTCGAGGGAATGCCATTCTTGTGATGTATGCCAAAAGTCTTTCCGCAATTCCACTCTACTGGCATCACATTTGCGGATCCATTCTAATGAGAAAACATTTCAGTGTGATTTGTGTTCACGAAAATTCAGTGAGAAAGGCAACCTTAAAAAACACATTCAAATCCATTCTGGTGAGAAACCATACCAGTGCTCGGTTTGTTCACGAGCTTTCACTACAAATGGTGATATCACAAGGCACATGCGAATCCATTCGGGTGAGAAACCATATCAGTGCGATTTGTGTTCCAAAAAGTTCAGTCAGAACTGCAGCCTTCAAAAACACATGCAGATCCATTCTGGTGAAAAACCATATCAGTGCTCGATTTGTTCACGAGCTTTTACTACAAATGGTAATATCACAAGGCACATGCGAATCCATTCGGGTGAGAAACCATACCAGTGCGAATTGTGTCCCCAAAAGTTCAGCCAAAACGGCCATCTTAAAAATCACATGCGGATCCATTCGGGTGAGAAACCATATCAGTGCGATTTGTGTTCCAAAAAGTTCAGTCAGAACTGCAGCCTTAAAAAACACATGCGGATCCATTCTGGTGAGAAACCATATCAGTGTGATTTGTGTCCCCAAAAGTTCAGCCAAAAAGGCAATCTTAAAATTCACATGCGGATCCATTCTGGTGAAAAACTACATCAGTGCGATTTGTGTCCGCAAAAGTTTAACCAAAAAAGCAACCTTAAAAATCACAGGCGGATCCATTCTGGTGAAAAACCATATCAGTGCTCGGTTTGTTCACGAGCTTTTACTACAAATGGTGATCTCACAAGGCACATGCGAATCCATTCGGGTGAGAAACCATATCAGTGCGATTTGTGTCCCCAAAAGTTCAGCCAAAAAGGCAATCTTAAACATCACATGCGGATCCATTCTGGTGAGAAACCATACCAGTGCGATTTGTGTTCACAAGCTTTTTATCAAAATTGTGATCTCACGAGGCACAAGCAAACTCACAGGGACGAAAGGCTCTTCAATGGCACTACGTTTCCGAATACTTTTCGAAGTAAACATCATCTCGCAGGTCACCAATTGATTCACACGAAAACTAAGTCCTTTGGGTGTACAGTTTGTCATGAATCTTTTCGACTGAGACACCAACTTAAAAATCATATGAAAATACATACGAAACCGAGCACCAATTTCTCACCATCTAATTCCAACCAAAACGAAGTTCTTATGCAGCACATAAATGTCCAGCATAACATATTTCGCTGCGACGAGTGTTCGCAATCATTTACCCGCAAAAGCAGCCTCATAAAACACATTGGGTCTGAGCACAACCATCGCTGCATTCAATGCCCACAAACTTTTGTCCGAAGCAGTTATCTTGAGAGTCATGTGCGCAATTGGCATTTGTTCCCATGTGGCGAGTGTTAGAAAATATTCACTGATTCAAATAGTCTCGTGAGTCACGAACGTGATAATCATTTCCACCGTTGCATGGCATGTACGCGATCTTTCCATCGAATCAGTGATTACAACAAACACGTAGCTAATTGGCACCCGTTTAGTTGTGATATGTGCAAACGTTATTTCAACATGTTATCGGACCTCTTGTGTCACAAATACGATTGTCACGATCTTTAGTCACGTAAAGCCAAGTCAGTGATGATCCTTAGTCGCAGCAGCAATACAGAGTTTAATACAATCATAAAATATTGAAATATTTTTTTTATATCAAATTAATTCTTATGTTCTTTCATTTTAAAAATAATGGCAAAGTTATTGTATATCTGCTAAAATGTGTTAATGTATTTAATAATTTCAAATAAACGTATTTTAATTTATATTGTAGTCTTTTTTACTTTTTCCAACAGGCTCATTTCTGTGCATAAAACCTCATGTTAATTTAAACGTTTATTTGGATACAAACACAAAAATAAATACTTGAAAAAAAAAAAAAAAAAAAAAAAAAAAAAAAAAAAAAAAAAAAAAAAAAA